ATTTCTTCCCTTGTCTCTACAGAGATGTCTTGCTAAAGCTCAGCTTTGCATTTCATTTTAATGTACATGGAATCGTTCTGAAATCACAAGATTCTTAATCACAAGAAATCAGTGTTTGGAAGTCAAAATTCTTCTTTGATCTGGGCAAATGACTTGATGTTATTTGACTGAATTAGCTGATCAGATGAACCATCTGCTGTATTGCCTGTACGATGCATCATTGCAAAGCACCAGGAGACAAAATCTGTTGCAAACTAACCTGGGCGTGGCCGAAAGCACAAGACTTAAAAACTTTGGAGAGAAAAATAATTAGAGATGTCAACAAGGATCCCTGGGTCTCTGCCAAGGTGTTTATTGCTGAACTGGCCTCTTCTGGAGTTGATGTGTCAAGGAAGAGAGTTGCGAGAACTCTTCATCGTGGAGGATTTTGAGGTCACCATCCAAGAAAAACTCCATTGCTGAACCAACGGCACATCAATGCCCGACTGAAGTTTGCCCATGAACATTTGAAACATGGTAATGAGCTTTGGAAGTCTGTTCTTTGGTCTGATGAGACTAAACTTCAGCTGTTTGGGCACAGGGATGTTGCTTTTGTTTGTAGAAGGAAGGGTGAGACCTTCAACCCTATAACATAGTTCCCACTGTTAAACATAGGGGTGGGAGCATCATGTTTTCAGGCAGTGGGAACCTCGTTCGTGTTCATGGGGTCATGAAAAAAGAGCAGTATGTTGACATTTTTAATAATAATTTAAAGAAATCTGCTGCAAGTCTTGCTTTAGGTCGCCGTTGGGTCATTCAGCAAGATAATGACCCCAAGCAAACCTCCAAGTTGGTCACAAACTTTTCAAAAGACTGAATTCGTACACACTGCCACTGCCGAATTCATACACATTGTCACTGCCTTCACCGTCCATTCCGTCCACCCCTCGTTGTGTCTTCCCAGTCTCTGCCCACCCTGTAGAGCTATCATTACTCCGGTCGCCTGTGACAAAGGGTGAGGGTGGGCACAATGCAGATGACAGGGATGTAGTGCTGTACCCCAGATCAGCTGAGGAAGGACTGGAGATGTCTGACACAGGAAATATTGTGCACCCCCTTCTACACTGAGTGTTCGGTTTATTGGCATAGCGTGTTTTGTTTTTTTACGGTGTTAGTTGTAGTATTGGGATACAATTATGTTTCTCTTTTGGGGGGTGGGGGTGTAACAAAGTTTTTGACTGATTGTTTATGTTCTCATATATGACAAATAGAGTTCCAAACCGACTCCGTGTTTGTCGAATTTCATTAAATGAACTAACAGGCGAACTTTGAAGCTCGGCTGCAATTTGATCTGCAAAACCCCGGATGTGTTGAGATCCTGGCGTCGATTCATCTGTTTTACTTTCGCTTTCATCCAGACAGGAGAAACAGTCTCTCGACGCGTCAGGAAACAACGGCCAGTAAATAAAATAATCATGATTAATCAGGTAAACAGCGCCAGTAATCAATTATATTTAGGAAACCATATTAAGCTGCTGTAATTTAACAAAATTTGTACATTTAAGAAATATGAGTAATTACCGACAGAGTAAATACGAGATTTTTAAGCCTAAACCTAAATGCGGTTAAATTGTGACAAAGCGCATTGTTTAATGGTTATATTATATAGGCCTAGTATCAGAAAAGTGTACAATGCACGAAGGCTTAACCTGTAGTCTACCAACACATCTGTCGTATCGACATTTTAAAGCTACTACCCAAAAGCCACAGACATCTACTCTTTTTTGTTCTAAAATCTAATTTTGTTTTCATGACTATTTGAAGAAGTATAGGCTATGTAAAGGTTACCATGCAGGTAAAAGGGGGTTTAACATGTCTTGTAAGGGCATTTGGTTTCGTTTTCGATATTTCAGACGAGCCGACCGAGCGACCAAATCAATTACATGTATGTCATTTTTGGTAAGTCTGCCGCACGACACGATGGGATTTCGATCAGTCGGTTTTTGAACTGGTACAGCATACAATCTACAATCCTCTGCAAAAGTATTCACACCCCCTTCCCCCTTTACAGGTAGCCTTTGCTGCACATGTCTGGCTGTTGGATTATATATACTTTACACCATTGGCAAGTATCAATTGCATTTGAGAATACTTCTCAGGATTGCAGTCTTCCATTTGTAAATGATTCATTTTCCATCTAATTCAACAACAACAACAAAATTCCGCCATCTTTACCAGCGTGAATGCTTGAATTAAACTGTTGGCTGTTCACTGCAGCTGACTCATGATGGAAATATTTTACAGGTGGTTTGTACTTAACACTACTATGCCTAAGCATAGCATGCTGTGTCGTCATCATCATGTTTTGGTATCTGGTCAAGACGGGCAGAATACCTATTGGTAAGTTGTCTCGTAATTCTCAGGTCCGACATCTCGAGGCTGAAGTTGGCTCCTTATTCGGATTTTCCGGTCCACCTTAAATGCTGCGCAGCGGAATGCAATGACGCGATTGCTCATTTAACGAGGCTTACCTTCAGAACTGCGCATATATATATATATATATATATATATATATATATAAAATATTTTTTATAACATTACTATTTAAGATAGTGATGTAACGAAACATTGAAGCAGATTACTTGCATTACTAACCGGTTAAATTACAGCTTAAAAATATACTTAAAATACAATAATCTGAAACACTGCTTAATCCCAGTGATGTGAGTAGTTCTAATTCGTTACATCCACTCCCTATACACAGAAAAAGTATTTGGGTAATTTTTTCAACTTATACAGTTCAATTATAAGAAATTTTCATCAAACTAAATCGTATAAATACAAATAATATTAATTAATTAATATGTATATTAAGATTCACAAAATGTGAATTCTTAAAGTACTAAAGTTAACAAGTTGATTCAAATAAATCTTAATAAACCTAGACACTTAAACAAGCTTCATAAATTAATGAAACGTATAAGCTTTAATAAATGAAATGTCTAGGTTTATTAAGATTTATTTGATGATGTTACCCATCCTTTAATAATGCAGGTACCGTGGCGTTACAAACGCAGACACAGGCATTAATAATAATAATAATAATAATAATAATAATAACGGCACCTACATTTGGAGTAGGCCTAGTGAAATGAACCTGAAATTGGTTTTATTTCTCTAAATGGACAGAAAGGCATCTCTCAAAATCTGCCAATGGGTGTTTACTGTACATTTCTTAAAATATAGGCCTACCATTAGGACATAGTTCTTCAGATCAAGTTAAATCCCCATATTTTCTCTCTCTCTCTTTCTCTCTCTCTCTCATAATATAAATCCATGCAAAATGTTATTGTCTTTAGTTTTAGTTATCCTTCCCAGTATTATTTAACTCATTGTATCTACAACTGAAGATGCAAATATTTTACAGAACGCATCCCCAACAGTAACTACAACATTCTGCATGATTCCATTCCAGGTAAGCTGTCCGGCGATTCTCAAGTCTCTGACATTAGAATTAGTTCACTTTTAGTTAGTTTCAACAAAAGTCTGTTTCTGTATTTTACAACTAAACTCCAAAACTGATCATCGAGTCATATCCTGTTTAATTATGTTCCAGTTACTTCATAGAATCTCATCCAAGGTGAAAAATGCCCTTCCTGTTCACAAGAGTTGTAAATTAATTTTAAATTCTTTTTTTCTTCCCCAATGAAAGTCCACATGCTGGTTTCTGGAGAAACTTTCCGGACCCATAAAACCTTCATGCAAAAGCTGAATCTGCAGATAGAGCTCTGCAGTGCAGAGAGCAGCAGCGTCATCCTGCTCTTCTGTCCTGTTGTTTCTCGGGTTGGGACAGACATGGAGGCAGCAATGGCCAGAGTTACAGGTGAGTCAGGATTCAGTCTCTGCTGTATGTCACCTGCGATCTGACAAATAAGCAAAATAACTACAATTAACAGACAGTGTGTCGTCTGTCTCTTCAGCTTTGGTTTAATAGAAGCTGCATTTCAGAAGTTTCCCTGTGAAAGTTAATTCAGATCAACAATCCATCCATATCTGCCAAGTCCTCAGTTTTTACAATGAGCATGACAGTCACTCAAGGCTGTAAAATTAGACTAATGAATTACAAGATATTGGGCTCCCCACTTCGTTTTGAAAAACAACCTAAATTAATTTTTAGATAAAATAAAATAACAATGGGCTCTATTTTTTTTTTACTTGCAGTGATTCTAAAACAATGCACAAAACACTGCACAAAATCATTTCTTTCTAACCAGGGGGGTATTCCATGAAAGTAGCTAAAGAAAGGCAGACTTTCCCGAAAAAGTCAGACTCAAACTAGCGCCATCTCTAAACTTAGCCTCATGTCATTCCACTAACACAGTTCAGTTTTAATTAATCAAGGCTCATACAAGACAGACTTGCATAGTCTCACTTTATGCGCACACTCGAGATATTTAGGAAGCCCAAATAAATGGATGAACGATAGATTGACCAAATGAGTCAGAAAGTGTGTAAAACGAGAGCGGTGTTTTTTTCCGCCGCAGAACAAACGCTGCTGATGGAGCTGTATGAAAAATGCAAAAATGTAATCACTAAAAAAGGCAATACTGTGGCCATAAATACAGCCAGAGAATGAGCTGCAGACAGACTAAATGCATAAGTTACATATAATTGCTTAGTACAGTGGCACGCCTTACACCATGAAAGTTCCTGGTTTGATCCCCATAGCCAATGGGGAACCTTCTGGGTTGAATTCACGTGTCATTCTTACTGTATAATGTTATTCTGTATTATTTGATCTCCGTAAAATACTTTCAATCGCATCCGTGTGAAATGTTCTGCACAAATAAGCGTATCTTGTCTTTGCTATTTTACTAATAACCATACTAATAACTAATAAAGTTTATTTGTGCAGAACATATCACAAGGATGTGGTTGAAAGTATTTCACAGAGATCAAATAATACTAATAATAATAGAATAACATTATACAGTATAAGAATGACCCGTGAACTCAACCCAGAAAGTTCCCCATTGGCTATAGGGATCAAACCAGGAACTTTCACGGTCTAAGGCGACGGCATAAACCCCTGAACCACCATGCCACTGTATTAGGCACATTTACATAACTAACGCATTTAGTCTGTCTGTAATTCTTTGCCAAGCGAACTCCCTGGCTTTATTTATGGCCACAGTATTACCTTTTTTAGCGATTACATCTTTCTATTCTTCATACAGCTCCATCAGCAGCGTTTGTTCTGTGGCGGAAAAAAACACCGCTCTCCTTTTACATGCTTTCCGACTCATTGATCGATCTATCGTCCATCCATTCATTTGGGCTTCCTAAATATCGCGGGTGTGCGCACTAAGTGAGACTATGCAAGTCTGTCTTGTATGAGTCTTGATTAGTTAAAGCTGAACTGCATTAGTGGAACGACATGAGGCTAAGTTTAGAGATGGTGCCAGTTTGAGTCTCTTACTAACACAGGTTACACTGAATATGTGTAGTGCATTTGCTTACTTCAAAGAATCTTGGCCTTAATAACATTTCCATCCATCCATCATAGACCACTTGTCTAGTTCAACATTGTGGTGAGCCTAGAGCCTACACTAGGAAGCACAGGGCATGATGGGATTGTAGTCCATCAGAGGGTACACATGCACTATATATTGGCAATTTAGAGAGATCAGTTAGCTGCCTTATGTTTTTGTTTTGGGGAGGAAACCCTCAAGAACATGAGAAGAACCTACAAACTTCACAGAGTGAGAGGCAGGAAACAAACACTGGAGGTGTGAAGATACTTTGGTACCACCAGTAACATTTTTATACAGAAAAACATCTACATATATATCATGGTAGCATGTGGTGGGAGTAGAAAATGCAGTCTAGTGTTTTTGAGAATCCAGCAGTCACTTCCTTCTCCAGACAATCGATGATCTTTTTTCCCTTTTTCTTTTTAATTTCTCACCCAACATCAGATATGCAATTATCCACAGAGGGCCAGCAACAGCATCTATCACTGCACATGCTAACGCAATTGATTTCTTCCTTCCACAGAAGACAAGCCTGTCATCCTGGTGTTCATGCACCACTGTCACAACCCCAGTCACATGACCAACATCACAGTGCAACCGTCCAGGAAAAACATAATTAAAATTGTCCACTGCGCCTTCCATGAATCACATGGGCTGCAACAATGCATGGAAAATGAGGAGGCGGTGGCTGAGGTTCGTACATTGTTGCAGAATTACCACATCTAAGAAACAGATTCTTTATGGGGATGAGATTTTAATCAGTATAATCAGTTATTTGCAAATAAATAGTGTGATTATTCAGCTGGGGAGTTTA